TGGGCGAGTGGCGCGGGGTGCCCGCCCCACTGCTGCGCCGGGCACCTGCGGCGGGTGGCACTGGGGCCTCGTTGACGGCCGAGCAGCTGCTGAAAGCGGGCAGGGGGGCGGCCCGCTCAAAGGGAGCCCAGATGGTGGTCGCCGCAGGCACGGTCAGGTCCAGCGCCAGGAAGTCGAAACCAAAGTCACAGTCCTCAGGGGCGCCCGTCCCCGTGGGTGCAGCGGGGCTATCCCCGCCAAAGGTGAAGCCCCCGTTGCCCGAGCCACCATAGGGGCTGGGGGGGCCTGTGTCTGGCACAGGTGGTCCCCCGCGACTGCCTGCGTAGAAGGTCTCGGGGGCGCTGGGGGCGCCCAGGGCACTGTCCCCGCGGAGGCTGGCTGTGGCCGTTGGGGGCCGTCGCCCCGGGTTGGGGGCCTTGGCCCAGAGGCTGGCGGCCGCCCCGAGCAGGTCCACGCAGACGTCGGTGCCGTTGGCGTGGAAGTCGCTGTCAGGGCCAGCGTCAGTGAAGGCGCCCGTGCGCAGCGTGATGTGCGCCTCGATCTCCTCGCGCGCCCGGTCCACGTTCTCGGGCATGCCCGTGACGGCGAACACCGGCTCCTTGTCGCGCCCCGGCGTCACGATGTACGTGTGTGTCCGCTGCTGGATGCGCTTGATGGTGGCGCCCTTGGGCCCCACCACCAGCCCCACCACGCGGTAGGGCACGCGCACCTGGATGGTGGTCTGTCCCGGCAGGTTGGGCGGGCCCTGGGTGGCGCCGGGCAGCCCGCCGGCCTTGCTGCGTGTGGCGCGTATCAGGGAGAAGTGCTCGGCCGCCGAGAGGATCTCGCGCTTGGCCATCTCCACGTCCTCCTTGCGGCCCGTCACGATGAAGACCGGCTCCTCCCCGCGCACCGGAGTCTTGATGTACGTGTTCGTCTTGGCGCGCAGAGCCTTGATCTTGCACCCTGTGGGGGAGGGGAGAGGCTCGGTGACGGAGGGCCCCTGCCCAGGACCCCTGGCAGGCAGCTGGCAGCGGGGCCAACCACAAGTGAGCACATCCACTCGGAACCTCTGACTTGTACCTGCCAAGGGCTTATCCTTAGACAGTGTCCATGTCCCTACTTCCCTGAGCCTGTTTCCCCCTCTGGTCCCCGGGGGTTGGCATAAAAAGCAAGGCAGCCAGGAGGACCCCGTTGTGGGTGGAATAGTGTCCCCTACAACGCACATCCACCCAGAATCTCAGAATGTGGATGCTGTGGTCTGAATGTTAGTACCCCCAAATTCTGGTGCCCGATGTGAGGTATCAAGAGGTGGGACCTCTGGGAAGTGGTCATCATGAGGACACAGCCCTTATAAGTGGATTAGTGCTTTGCACCTTCTGCCATGTGAGGACACAGAGAAGCGGCCGTCCACAAGGAAGATGCCCTCACCAGACACTGAATCTGTGGGCGCCTTGATCCCGGATGTTCCAGCCACCAGAACCATGAACAATAAACACATGTCTGTTGTTTACAGGTGACCCAGTCTAAGGGGTTTTGTTATAGCAGCAGAAATGGACTAAGACAGTGACCTTCTTTGGAGATAGGGTCTTTGCTGATGTAATTAGTTAAAATGAGGTCATACTGGGTTAGGGTGGTCCCTAAATCCAGTATGACTGGTGTCCTCATAAGGAGAGGAAAGACTCAGAGACAGCTGATTCCTCTATGTGACAAAAGAGACGGAGACGGGAGTGATGCATCTACAAGCCGAGGAACACCTGGAGCCCCAGAAGCCAGGAAAGACAGGCAGGATAGTCCCCTGCAGCCTTTGGGTAGGAGCACAGCCCTGCCACACCTTGATTTAGGACTTTTATCCTCCAGCCTGCGACAGAATACATTTCTATTGTTTCAAACACCCCAGTTACGTCAGTCCTAGGAAACCAATACAGACACTCTGATACCAACTCCCTGTCCCATGGTGGGAAACTGAAGCTCAGATTGTGGGAACCACCTACAATTTTCTTCTGACCAAGTAACCCTCCTCAGGCCACCAGGGTCCCCACACCCAAAGGAATCCAAGGTCTCAGCCTGAGGGCAGACTCGGGACACCTCAAAAGGCCCTGGGTGAGTCCCTGAGGGGATGCAGGGTAAACAGTACTGTGGCTTTATCCTTGCTGGCTGGGATGAAGGTGTGACCCTTTGGGGGTCAGGAGTGTCTGAGGGGGTAGGGGTCTCTGATGGGGCTCTTCACCCATTGACTAGGCAGCCCTCAAAGTCTAAAGACAAGTTGTGGCTGGCCCAGGCCCCCACATCCCCACCCTTACCCTGGGAGCCTTTGAGATGTCATAAGCCAGGCCCCAGAGTCTGGGGAGACCCTCCCTGCTAGGCTCTGGGAGGCAGAGACATACGTGGATACTGTTTCCATCAAACAGAGGCAGCATTGAGACTATAACAGTGTTGCGAACATCTCTAGTCACAAAAGATACGAAATGAGCAGGACCAGCACGTGTGACCACAAGAAGCCAGAGAGGGTGCCTGGGCCTGGAAGCCGGTGGGTCCCGGGGCTCAGCAAGGGGGACACAGGAAGGTGGCAGGGATGGACGCACCCCAAGGGGTACAGCAACCACAAACCCAGGGCTTTGAGCAAAAGCCAGGCCTGTGAATTGATGTCACACATCTCACAAGAAGGGTGGCCAGCTCTCCTCCCACCTCCTGGGTCCTGAGCTGCTCTCCCACACCCAATGTCCTCACAAGGCTCCAGCTCTGTGTCCACAGACAAGTCACCTCAATGGCACCCCAAGCTCACCCAGGCGCTGGCTTCCTCCCAAACTGCCCCGATGGTCCCCTTCTCACTCGGGCAGGAGGAGGGGGAGCTTTCAAATCACACATATCATGTCCCCACCTGCAGTCCCCCCCACCCCAGCTGAGCTGTCCCCCATAGCAGTCTGATTATCCCTATCTCCCGCATCACCTCCCTTCCTCTGCACTACATCGCAGCCTGGTGCCCCCTCCTCCAGTAAGCCCACCCTGACTGTGCCATGGGCCCACCCTTCTCAGAGCTGCTCCTCACACACCTGGCTTTCTGAACTCCCTGAGGCTAGCACTGCACTGCAATGGCCGATGCTCTGGGGAGTCCCTGGGCACTCAAGGGACCTTCTTGTGCCTCAGTTTCTTTACCCATAAAAGGGGAACAGAAACAGACCCAGCCTCATAGGCTTCGGGCAGGACTCGAAGGGCCATGAACTGACCTCATAGGTCTCAAGGGTGGCTGGAGGAGGATATAAACTCACGCAACCAAAAGTGTTCACCACTTGAACAGATCTGCATTGAGAGGAAATCCAGGCACAGAGAAAGGGCAGGGGATTCTCCAAGACCGGGGCAAGGGATGCAACTCATTCCCAATCGCTCGGGGCTGGCTGTGGGGTAGGGGGAGGGAGTCTCCCATCCTGGCCTCCAAGGTGCCCTGGCCCCCAGAGGGTCACACATGGGAGGCGTCACCCCAGCAGCTTCTTCCTCATCTGCCCCCATTCTCCCCATCCCCAATGGTGGCCTTGGGTGCAGCCCTCATGATGGAGAGGCCTCGAAGAGAGAATGGGGCCCGATTCACCAATTTCACACTCAAAGGCCCCCTATCCCCACCATGCCAAGACCCTGAGAGGCGGCAGAACTGGGGTGGGGGACCCTCCTAGGCCATGAAAACGGGGCTCCAGGAGTGACCCAGCCATGCCCCTGCCCAGCAGGGAAGACCCAGCCTGGCAAGAGTGGGTGGTGGCAATGGCCAAGCCCCAGGCCCAGGAGTACCCTGGAGGTCACTGATGGTTGGTGGGCACAGGTTGAACTGCAGATTCCTAGGCCCTGCCCCTGGGATTCCAACTCAGAGAGCTGGTGTGCCTGGGAATCATGGGACCACCCCAGAGGCTGGCACTGACCCCCACCCTGTGGAGGGCCCTCTCCTCCAAAGGCAAGGTCCCCTCACAGAGCCTAAGCCAGTGGCCTCTCTCATGTGACCCTTTTCTGAAGTCCTGGCTGCAGGTGACCACAGATTACAGACTATTCAACAAAACCACAAGGCTGTGGGGGGAGCAGAGGCCACCATCCTGGGCTGAATTGGAAGGAGGATGTGTGCCCGGGGGAGGGACAGCCAGTGCAGAGCTCCAGAAGCAGAATGGGGCTGGGACAAGTCCCCATGACAAAGGATCAGTCCAACACATCACCACCCCCAACCAAGCATCCGGGCAGGGGACAGACAGGACCATCCCCAGAGCTGGGCCGTCATGGGAGCCAGTCTTGGCTGGGTGGTATGGGAGTGGGGCTGGCTCAGCTGTCAAACAGGGATGTTGAAACCCCACTCCCGGAGGGTAGGAACATCTACACTCAGTAACACAAGAACTCCAGACTTGGGCCTGATGTGTGAAGGGTACCCAGAAACCCCTCCTCTTTCTCAGCCTCTGCAGTATATGGATAAGAAAATCCAGACATGGTTCTCAGCAACATCTCAGCACTGTCCCCAGCCACCACAAAAGCCCCCAAGGCCTGCAGGGGTTGGGGGACTGAGATGAGCCCTTGTGGATGAGACAGACATAGGGTAGAGAAGGCGGGTCCTCCCACCAGTCAAGGGAGGCAGTCTGAGGCCACTGTCCTCAGCCTGTGACATCAGCAGAGAATGACAGGGGGTCCTGGGTGGCTTCCAGTTCAAACCCCGCCATCAGCATCATTCACTCATTCATTCATTCATTCCTGAAAACCCTACTGTGCGACAGGCCTGGGGTGAGGTACTGAAGAACCAACCATGACCAAGCAAGCTCCCATCCCAGTTCCTGTCCCTGGGAATTTGCAGGGGAGGCAGCCAGGGAGCGTGCACATGCCTTTGCTGACCAGCACCACAAGCCCTTTCGGAGTCTGTACTTGGCCTGTCTCCGAGACGGTGCTGCCTCCCTCCACCTCCAACCCCCCAGCTTCGGAAAGTGGAAACTTCTTTTTTTTTTTTTTTTCCTTTTTTTTGTCTTTTTTCTTGACCGGCAACGGATCGCAACCCTCAGTGTCACGCCCGTACCGGACCGGGACCGGCCACGGGATCGCAACCCTCGGTGTTGCTCCCGCCCCTCGCTCAGCCAGTGAGCGGCCGGTCTGTATGTGGGATCCGAACCCTCGGCGGGAGCACCACCGCACTTCCCAAGCGGCGCACTATAGCAGTGCGCCACCGGGCCGGCCGAAAGTAGAAACTTCTTGACCCAACCCTGTCCCTGCAACACGGGACAGAGTCAGAGAAAGTAGAATTCAAACCCCAGCACCAGCCAACCCTGGCTCTGGCCCACCCTTCACCTCCCGCAGCCTCTTTCTCCCCATCTGTGATCCAGGAGCCACAGAACCTTCTCTGGGGCATGTGGCAGGGCTCAGTGAGATGGGGCAGATCACGGCTGGCTTGGGCTCTGCACGCAGTAGTGTTCAATAAAGATCTAGCAAATGGATGCACTGGAGCCCTCGGCAGACAGTAAAACGCCTCCCATCAGGGCCTACTTAGCTGCAGGAAGGGGAGAGAACTCAGGGCTTGTAAACAACTACGGTGTGTCCAGAAAGATCTTGGATCCATTCTAGGGTTGAGAAAACTAAGGCTTGGAGAGCAGCACATGGGTGTCAGGGAACGGACTGGCACCAGGTCTGTGTGACTCTCATCTGGCAGGGGAGGCCCAGCAGGTGGACCCCTCCTGCTCTCTGGGGGAGGGGGTGACCTTGGACCTGGGGTTTGACAGAAAAGAACGAGACAGGGGCATCCCCCCACCCCCAGGGTAGAGAGTGGGTGGGTGACCAGAAGGATGGAGGGGGCAGGGCTGGGGCACAAAGGACCTCTTAGGGTGCTCTTGAGAACTGGGTGTGTCGGAGAAGCAGGGAGCCACAGATGGTTCTACAAGTGGGGAGATACAAGGATCACTAAAGCTGCCAACCTGTCCCAGCATTCAAGGTCCCCTGCAACTCACAGGTGACTACTGTGTGTGACATTGAGCTGGAATTAGAATCAGTGTCTTCTTGGGAATCCTCACAAGAAACCCCAGAGGTGCTATCTCCACATCCAAGAGCAGCCGTCATTTGCTCAGGGTCAGGGGCCACTCCAGCTTGCGGGGACCATTGTACACCCCCATGATGTCTGCCACCAGCAAGAACCCAGCCTGGCCCCCAGTAAATGAGTGCCAAATGCACACCTAGGAGGTGAGAGGTTGACCCTGGTGCCCCTGGATTAGGTCCTCCATGACCCTGCGACCAGTGTTCAGCCTGACGCCACAGGTCCAGATGCCCTCTGCCTGACTCCTGCCACCACCCTGTGTGGCTGCAGCGTCTCTCAAAGGACCTTCAGGTGTCAGGACACACCCTCTCCCTCCACCACCTGACAGATCAGCCTGGTGACTTTGGGCAAATGGTCCCCAGGCCTGGGTTTGGACGTTTGTTCCACAGGCTTATGGACACTCAGCAGCACCTGGCAGCTGTCCTGTTATATGTCCCAGTGCAGTTACA